AAATGCAGGAACAAGATAGTCTATTCCTTCATGGAAAGAACAGAATGAAGCAATAAATAAATGTCTACTATGTTCCAAATATTAGGAGTTTTATAAAAGATCATATTTAATCCCAACAATACTCTTCTGAAATAGGTACACATTTTAAAGATGAGAAAACTGGGCCCAAAGGATTAAGTTGCTCAACTTCACAGACAATCAGTTTTAGAGCCTGGATTCAACCTAGGCGCTCTGATTCTGGAGTTTGTGCCCTTAAACACTACCCTATCCTGCTCCATTGTACAACCCGTGACATGGTGAGTTGTTTATATAAGAGTGGTTCGAAGGCAGCTTTGTTTGAACAGAAGAAGGGGCCTTTCCCAGTGAATGAAAAATAGGCATCATGAAAAGTCCAATAGATCAACTGTAAAATGAGTAAAGCAAAAATATTAAAAGTTAAAGGAAAATTTTACTCAAAGTACTTAAAGAGTCTCAACATTCTTAGTTTGCACATAGCAAAAATACAATTAATGATTTGCTCAGGTAAATCATTTGATGATTCATGCCATTTCCAAATTTGCTGACATTCTCCTCAGTATAAGTAATTATTTCAGTTTCACATATCAGTAGCTTGATGTTAAAAGACAATTGTTTGTAATGTGTGCATTATTTTAAAATTTGGATGAGTGGGAACAAGGATGAGTAAACATCACATTTATTGGAGAAAAATGAAAACATCAAACATGGAAAATTCAAAACTCACTTAAGATTTATTTTTGTCCAGAAAAAAAAACTAGTAATAAAGTGCTCTAAGTGAAGAGGAAATGGTCGTTGGGCATTATTACACTCAATAAGATGACACATACACTAAGTCTAAAAAAATGAAGATCATCATGTAAAAGTTATGGCCCTGATTTTAAAATCATTATTCCTTATATTCAAATGAATTTTGAGATAACCAACATCTGATCATTTCAATTCTAATAACCTATAGGAAACTCAATTAATTATATCATATAAAATGTAAAGTCATCTAACATAATGACAGGAAGTAATATTCATAGGAACACACTTTGTAATAATGAAAAAGTAGAGCGAACAAAACCTCTAAGTGTTCATCAATAGAGAAACAGATGAATAAAAATTAAAATATGGTGTAGTCATACACTGGAATGTTGTACAGTAATTAAAATGTTGAGTTAGATGTATATGTCTCAACATGGATAGATCTTAAAATATGAAATTAAAAAAAGTTAAGTGAAAAGTTCATACAAATATCACAGAAATTAAAACATGTAAAATAAAATTGTATTCTTTATGGATATATATGAGAAAGTTAATGGATAAAACAATGGACTTTTAAACACGCCAAATTCATTAGGGTATTTGTCACAGTGAAAGGAAGAAAAAAATTCCAAAGGAACTGTTTTATTTATTTTGGTTAAATAATAACTGAAGCACATATAATAAATATTAAACCACTGGTGGAGTCATGGGTATTATATTATTTCTTTTAATTTTAGTGGTTCAAAATATTTATAAAAGTGTTTTTTTTAAAATCAGCTATTTAAATATTTTAGGCTAAATGTATTTGGAATAAATTATTTAGAAAATTATTTCACTTTATCATATTATCCAAATAATCCACTCTCTCAAAGTCTATGACAATCATATAATGTTACTAAAAATAAATTGAATATAAACCTCTCTGAAGATTTCAAGATCACCAGGCAGTATTGGACATTCTACAGGATTTGATTCAGGAAAGAAAACTAGAAATCTCAAGCTCTCATGAGCTTAAAACTCAGTTTCATTTCACAAATTCTTATTTGCTATAAGAAAGTGCAATTTTGCTTCCTAATGGAAAATGTCCCTCAGAAATCAATCCTGGCATTTCACTGTGAGTGTCCTGGCAAAGGGGATACACTCTACACCTGCAGGTTCAAATATCACCTGTACTGTTGGGAATGCAACAATTATACGTGGCTGAACTGTTGAAGGTACGTAGACAAAATGGACAGAAAGTACTTAGGCACAAAATCTATCCAAAATCTGAAAACCCTATCACACTGAGATCATATACCTAAATTTAATTTTCTAGAAACTTACCAGGAGCCAAGGTGTTTATAATGGCACCCCACATTAAAATGGATGTCAAAGGACATTGAGTCCAACCACTTTTCTGAAGCAAGGGAAGACAAGCTGAAATAGTAATGGTTGGGATTCTAGGGTCTCAATAACCAGCTTTCATCAAAGAAATGGGGATAAGATTACCTGTTCTCAATCACTAGATTGTGGCCCTCCCCACCTCTTAATCTGGTCTCCTTTCTACAGCCTTAGTGATCCTTTGAAAGCATACATCTGGTCAAGTCCCTCCTCTGCTCAAAATTCTTCATGTCCTTCATTGATCTTAGGGTTAGCTTGGGTTAGCTTGAGGCTCCCTAACTTGACTTATCAGCTTTGGCTGGTCTGACTTCAGTTTATCTCTCCATCCTCATTTTAGCCCATTTCTTCTCATGCTGTAATACTCTAATCCGGGTTTCTTGACAGCAACACTCCTCTATTGTAATTAATTGCTTACTCAGGTGCACCTACCATCTAGTCTGTGGTCTCATCTAGTCTGTAGGCAGAGGTCGTATTTTTACTATTCATCACTGTAGCATTAGTGTCTATCACAGTGCTTGGAATACAGTGCCACTCAACAAGCATTTGTTGAAAGAAGGAAAGGAGGGAGGAACACAGGGAGAGGGAGGAAAGGGTTATTTTGAGGGTAGGCTAAGTGCAAAAATATGTTTATAAAGCATTAGTAGAAATTACATGATTTGAGGCCAATCAGAGAAACTGTCTGTCAGAATCTACCTACTGGCAGCTGAATGTGTCTACCTTTGGCTCCATTTTTGTTTTGTTTGGTTTGGTTTAGGGGTGGGGGAGGGTGAGGACAGACAATAACAGAACAAAATGTTTCAGTGCTTGCAGTGGTTGAAAGGATTTGTTCCTTCAGACCTACTGATCAATGATCATCACAAACTCAAGTAATGTGGGAAAGATTATGAAAACACAGAGACAGCACCCAAATGCACAGATCCTGTGTAGCTTGCAGGGTTTCCTTTATTGGTCACACATAAACAAAGCCAGCTCCAGCTATGATGACTAAGTTCAGGGCATGAACTCCTCCCACGGTTGATTCATTCTTTCCACATCATTTTTTAAAACTGAGTTTCCACAGCAGATGTAAATCTACACTAAATTAGACAAACATGAAACGTAAGTATAAGCATCATGATGGGAAAAATCATAACCATGGTAAGAAAATTTAGGTGAGCTGGTTGATCTTTAGAAACATTTCTTCGACTCATGGTCTAGCGCACAAAGTATCAGAATCACTGATCTACAGAGGTTTCCCAAATTCAATTCAATATGGAAATTATCGTCAGATCTTCTGTATTATGCCCAGAATTGTGTTAGGAAGTTTGGAGAAATTTAAGAGGCAAATCCCTTATGTAAATACCCTAAAAATGACAAGTAATTCTTAAGCAATTTTCTCTTGCTTTTATGTTTATAATTTTAGTCCCCTTTCTCATCTGCTCCTCAGGAATCTGGAAATACTTGTCTTTCATCTAAAAGACATCTCCATTTTGTTTATTATTATAATTGACTTTTGTTATCTACATATGCAAATTTTCTGCTTGATTTTTTTTGTAGCCATGATAAAAAATGTCAGTGGTCACTATTTCTACTTTATAGTTTTACAATATTATTTCTAAGTCATCTTAATCATAGCACTAATTAAAGTGCTTGCTTATTGCACTTAGCATAAAACCCTCTAGGTCCATCCATGTTGTCACAAATGGTGAGATTTAATTCTTTTTTTATTCCATTGTGTGTGTGTGTGTGTGTGTGTGTATACACATCTTCTTTATGTAATTGTCCACTAATGGGCATTAGGTTGCTTCCATATCTTGGCTGCTATAAATAAACCTATGGGGGCTGGGTGAAAAGGTGAAGGGATTAAGAAGTACAAACTGCCAGTTTCAAAATAGTCATGAGGTTGTAAATTACAGTACAGGGAATATAGTCAAGAATATTGTAATACTATGTATGATGCCGGGTTGGTAATAGACTTATCAAGAGGGTTACCTCCTAAATTATATAAATGTCTAACCACTATGCTGTACACCTGAAACTAATATAAAATAATATTGAATGTCAACTGTAGTTGAAAAAATTTTTTAAATTGCTAAAAATAAATAAAGAGCTTGCACACTAATGTTTGGCATAAAGCCAAAGTCTAGGAGGGAGGAGATAGTCACACTGTTTTTTATTCTAGAGAAGTCCATCTTATTAATGCATTTATTCATTAATTCAATAAATATTTATGGAGTGCTTATGATGTGCTAAATATTTTTGTAAGTTCTGGGGATATAGTGATGAGCCTAACAGACAAGGTCCCTACCTATATGGAACTTAATATCTAGTGTGTAAGATGTCATCTACCAGGCACAAAATAAGGATGAGTTCAGTTGTCACATGTGTATAGTTTTCAAATATGATAAATAGAGTTTGAAGCTGTAATCTGTACCCAGTATATATTTCACTTGAGGGAATCCTTATTTATATGCATTATTCAAAAAAAAAAACAAAAAGCAGACAAACCGCCTTCTTTATCTTATTCCTTTGATTTTTATAAACACTGAGGAACAGTTTGAAAATATTAGAATTTCTAGTGTAATGCAGACCCTTAACATTTGCTCTCCTGTATTTTAAACAGGTATATCTCAGAAGAACAGAGACTGTTGGAAATGACAAACCTGTATGTACCTCTCATTCAAATCAAGTTTTCATGTACTTTTTCAGGGTGCAAATAAAAGTTTGTCACAATTGCTGTTTTTCAGACTGGGCAGATCTACTCATATTATCTTAGAAAATGACTAGATCAAGAAAAAGAACAGGGTCTTACAAATGACAGGATATTAGCTAAAGGAAGTGCCAAAGGCAGGGGAAGTAGACCAGAGAACACTTACTGGTACGTGGTTGGGCTGACATTGATGCGCCGAGGGTGACTTCCTGATTCGAATTTGCTTGCCAGAGTGACATTATTTCCAAACAGGCAATATCGTGGCATTCTTACTCCAACAACTCCAGCCAGCACAGAGCCTGAGTGAATGCCTATCCTCATCTAAAGAAAAGAAAGAAAAAAAGAAAAAAGATATATTAATGTTTTCATTTGGTATGCAATTATTTTAATGAGACACACTGCTAATTATGTAAACTGTTAAACTACAAACTCCTCAAAGACAAGGACTGGCTGGGTCTTGGTCATTTTTGTGAACCCAATGGCTGGAAGAACAGGGAATCTGTGGAATAAATGAATGAATGGATTTAGGATAGGAAAATAACTACATTTAATTTGCTACATAAATCTGGTTACATTACAAGTTAAATAATTTCATTTATACCTAATATGTTCTAATACATGGAAAATGTATTGCTCTCCCTCCAGTTATTTATTCTCACATAAAGCTCTATTTTTCCCTTCATAGCATTAAATACAATTACATTTCTTTTTATTTTACTTAAATGCTAGATTTTCCCATGAGAGAAGGATCCACATCTATTTCCTTACTGCTGAATATTCAGCACTTAGTACTGTACTAAGAGCAAAGTAGGCACTCAATAGTAAGTGAAGAATATTGAATAAATTTCCCAAATTCTCCAACATAGTATTAAAATGGAGTTATAGAGAATTTAACCCTTGAGTCTGTCAAGAAGATTCAACTGAAAACCCTGAAGAGTAAGATAAGAGCTGTATATTTTATTCTCTGAGAATCTGATAATAAATCTGAAAATAAAACTCCCTTAAACATTTAATCTGGTCCATGCCATGAAAGAGCCTTCATTGTGCAGTTAATATACACTTAAATAAGATTATAGTAATAAAGTTGTAGCCATGTGATCTACACCAAAATAACCAAAGCTAATGGTGACCAAGTGGAAAATGCTATCCTTATTTCTAGGGGAATGTGGGTAACTCTGGGAGAGGAGGAGGAGATCTGATCCCTAGATGCCCATTAGGTAGGCAATGTCAGCCCTTCTTTACCATGTCTGCTATTGCCACTAGTAATGTGATGATAAAAAGTCACTGTTAGACTAACCCTTGTCATAGGTCTGGAGACTTCTGCATGTATCAACCCATAATAAAACAATGTGATCTAGCTGCAGCTCCTAATAACCTCTCCATCTACTCTTTAAAAACTGATTCTAAAATTTATTTGAAAATTCAATATGCTAAGAACATGATACATTTGAGAAAGAAGGAAAAAGTTGAAATATCTGCCCTATGAGATATCAAGTCTTAGTATAACCATCTTTAATTAGTGCACGGATATCATAATATTGATGTATAGAGACATAGACTAACAGAATAGTCCAGAAAGAGTTCCTTGCATATATATAGGTGATTGATATATGACAGGGTTGGCATTTCAGATTACTGAGGAAAAGATGGCATTTCCATTAGGATGTTCTGGATCAACTGTGTCTTCATGTGGGAAAAAAAATCCAAGTAGATTAATTTAAAGATCTCAATGTAGAAGGCACAATTTTATAGCTTTGAAAATAGTTGTTTTAATTAAGGTAAAGGTCAATCTGAAGTATCAGTAAAACCCTATAATACAAACACCTAAAAACTATAGACTTTTACTAGTTTTTCAGTAACAGTTTCCACATGAGCGGTCCAGATTGTCAGGCGGCTCTGTTCTTCCTCAGTCAGGGGCCAGGTTCTTAGCACTGTTTTTCTCCTCGTGTCTTGTCACATATTTCTTTCAAAAAACTTGAAGCTGGATCAGGAGCACCCTCATGCTCTAACTCATAATGTAGCAAGATAGATAGTAAGAGTCCAAGGTATGGGTCATAAAGTTACCAATTAAGCTGATCTTCATTCTTTTCTGTAGATCCATATTTATATCTGGTATCATTTTCCTTCTACCTAAGAGACTCCCTTAAACATTACCTTTTTCCTGTAGGCCCACTGGTGATGAATTCTTTAAGCTTTTGTATGTTTCAAAAAGTCTGTATTTTGCCCTCATATCTGAAAAACATTTTTGCTAGGTATAGAATTCTAGGTTGATAGTTTTTTGCTTTCAGTACTTTAATGATGGTGCTCTACTGTCTCCTCATTTGCATTGTTTTCTAGGAGAAATCTGCTGTCATGCTTATCTTAATTCCTCCATATGTAATACAGATGGGCCCCAATTTTACAATGGTTCAAGTTACAATTTTTTTACTTTACGATGGTGCAAAAGTAATACACATTCAGTAGAAATTGTACTTCAAATTTTGAATTGGTATCATTTCCAAGGCTAGCAATATGTGGTATGATACTCTTTCATGATGCGGGGCAGTGGATCACAAAAGTAAACAAACGAAACTTTATGGTATAATGTGAGTATTCATCTTTTGTATATTGTTCTGAGAACATTCATGGTAGGTGGGGCTAATGGTGATGCTCAGTAGGTTAGGTGTATTAAATGCATTTTTGATTCACAATATTCTCAACTTACACAGGGTTTATTGGGACATAACCCCATTGTAAGTCAAGGAGCTTCTGTGTATCTTTTTCCTCTGGCTGCTTTAAGTTTTTCTATTTATTGCTAGTTCTGAAAAATTTAATTATGATTTCCCTTGATGTTGGGGTTTTTTTTTCATATTTCTTGCTTTGGAGGTTTGTCCAGTCTCTTGGATCTGTGGTTTTTACAGTTTTCATTAAATTTGGGGAAATTTCAGCCACTTTTTCTTGAAATATTTTTTCTATTTACCCCTCTGTCTTTCAGAGACTCTAATTACATGTACATTAGGATGCTTGAAGTATTTCCACAGTTAATTATTTTCTCTCTGTTTACTTTGGATAATTTCTACTGCAATGTCTTAAAATTTATGAATGTCTAATCTTTTGTTAATCACATCCAGTATATTTTTCATCCCAGACATTGTGATTTTCTCCTCTAGAAGTTTAATTTGGGATTTATTTTTATCTTTCAGATAGAAAATTAATTTTAGAACATATGGAAAACAGCTTAAATAACTGTTTTAATACTCTTGTCTGGTAATTCTAACATCAGTTTCAGTTTTGATGATTGATTGAGTTTTCTCATTATTATGGGTTATATTTTTCAGCTTTGCTGCATGGCTAGTAATTTTTGGTTGGATGTTAGATATTAATTTGACTTTGTTTAGTGCTGGGTATTTTTATATTCTTATAAATATTCCTGAGCTTTGTCTTGAGATGCAGTCAAGTTACTTGGAAACAGTTTGTTCCTTTCAAGTCTTGCTTTTTAAGATTTGTTAGGCAAGTCTTGAGCAGTGTTTCAGGTAGGGCTAATTATTCCTCACTATTGGGGCAAGAACCCTCTGAGCACTATACCCAATGTCCATAATTTATGAGGTTTTTCAGTCTTCCTGCTGGGAACCAGTAGTTTTTGTAAATCCTGTGTGAGTGCTAGGAACTTTTTTCTCTATCCTTTCAGGTATTTCCTCCACTGGGATCAGGTAGTTTTCTCACAAATAATAATCAGTACTTTTCAGAACATATAGGAGGCCTCTGAGAAGATCTCTGGTAGTCTTTGTGCAACTCTCTCTTCACTGGTACTCTGTGACCTCTAGCCTTCTTGGTCTCTGCAGACTCTGAGCTCCATCTCTTCAACTCAGGGAGTTTGTTGGGTGCCTCCTGGTTTTCCCCTCCTGTATGTCTGGATATCTCCCAAGGTAACACACCAGGGAAATCACAAGTCTCATCTTATTTGTTTCCTGTCTCTCAGGGATCACTGTCTTCCATTGCATAGTGTCCAGTGTCATGAATACTGTTTTTTCGTTTGTTTGTTTTTGTATATTTTGTCCAGATTTTTAATTATTTAAGGTGGGAGTGTAAGTCCAGTCCCTGTTACTCCATATTGACTGGAAGAAGAAATGAGATACACTTTTTTAAAGAAAGTAAACTATCTGAAAAATTTAGGCCTATTTCTAATTAGAGATTGTCTATTTGGATTTAAAGGTAAAGAAAATGTTGAATGGTAATATTCATTTTAAACAAGCTAAGTGTAAAAACTTTTCTCTAAAATTAGCAAAGCATTTTGCGATATTATATTTTTCTGGGTTTATGTTTGCTTTCAGAGGCCTACTTATATTAGATTACTTTGTGTAATACAGGATTGCCTAAAAGACACCCAGGCCTTAATACAAAGATTGTCAGAGTGGGCCTGTGATCACTATAGTGATTTTTTAAGCACGAGGAGCAGAGAAGTAAATATCACATTGACACATTTTAGAGCTTATTTATTCTGTGATTTTGTTTGAGAAAGAGAATCCACCCCACGCCAACTATATACAAGGCTCATGAGAGTATAACTCCACCTCCGCTTCCTTTCAAAAGACCCAAAGCTGTTATTAATTAGTTAATTAATTAATTTATTTATTTACGTACTTACTAAATGGTCAGAATGAGTATTATTATAACCTGAAAAATGCTAAGGACAAAACCCTTCCTATCCTTGAGGGGGCGGATGGAGAAATAGTCATTAAAAAACTCCTTATCTTTTAGAAGGCCACCTAAAACATACATAACATTATCAATAACCACAAAAAATAGCACAGGTTCACCATCACTACCCTATCATGGAACAGGACTCAGAGAATTATTTAATCTTGAAAGTAAAGAGATACCACTGGGAAGTTACAAGCTGAATCATCAGACTGTTTTCCTTTGCATTTCTTTGGACAACTTATCCAAATTTTCCTGGAATCATTGCCTATATAAGGAAGTCTCTGATTGCGTCATTCAGAATATGCCAAAAGCATCTAGCAGTTATACAAAATAGAGAGATGCATTTAATCATCAATGAGGGATTTAGATTCATTTAGGTAAAATTTAACTTTATTTTAATGAGTTAACCAAGCAGTAACGCTTGTAATGACCTGATTAGTACAACATAGCTGAAAAGGGTTGCTTTTTATGCCCTGATATGCCCCAGCAAAAAGGTTGCACTAAACCAGGGGTTGTCAACTGGGGTCATTTGTGCCTCACAGAGGACACCTGTTAATGTCTTGAGACATTTTTTATTTTTAAAACTGGGATTGGGAGCTGCTACTGGCATCTATTCAGTAGACCAGGAGATTCATTCTCAA